AAAAAGTGGTACATGTCTGGATGGTGAAAAAGTTTGAGAAAAAAAAAAATGGGGGAAAAAATTGCCCAAAAAAAAAAAAAAAAAAAAAAGGCAAAAGGTTCTCAAGAGCTTGGAGGGTGATTCGAAAGACATGAACGTTGCTGGAGTCATGAATTCAATAGTTAAACATATCCAAGACATTAGCTTCTGAACTTCCTGTCAGAAGTTTCTTAGCTGGACTAAGTGGTATAAAATCCTCATTTCAGATGAAAGGAGCTGTTGCATTTTATTTGGAAATAAAGGTCAAGTGGAGGAGGAAGGGAGAGGTGCGTTTCCGGTCAGTGATGGTTTAGGAAGCCATGCCATCGGTCAGCGTTGCTCCACTGCGTTTCCTCAAATGTAGAAACTAAAACTAAGCTAATAAGTTCAAAACAAAACAACTTGCAAACACCTTTGACAACAGAGTCGATTTTGCACATTGTACCTTTAATGGAAAGGACAGGCGCAATCTTCAAAAACATCACCGTCACATTTTCCGAGACATAAAATAGAAAAAGAATCTGAAGCGACTATTAACAGGTTTTAATAAAACTGGTGGCGTTGTTTAAAAAAGGCGAGCAGAGCGTGGATCACAGACAAGAGGGGAGAAGAAGTGAAACGGTTATCGCAGAGCAGCCACTGAGCGGCCGGAGACGGAGAGGACGTGGAGTCCTCAGACGACGGGCTGCGTCTCCCTGACCAGCCACTGCAGAGCCTCCATCTTGCCCTGCCGCTCCAGCTCCGCACCAATCACCTCCCTGCACCTCCGGTGGTACCCGTTCACCCAGTCCTTCTGTGGGGACAGAAGGGTGGAGAAGCCATGAGGACACCGGCTGCGTTTCCATCGCTAAACGTGCGTAAAACTGTCTACGTTCCGCTAATGCCGAAAAGACACAATTTCACAATTGCGGTGTTTCCATTAAGTAGGAAACGTAATAAAAAATACAAAAAAATCACACTGGAATAAGTTGTTCACGCTATAAGACATTAAAAAAAACATGGCGGAACATGATCTTCCGACTACTTCCTGTCGGTTCTACTTAGTGGTTTTTGCTGGTGGCAACATGCTGCTGTTCATGTGGCGCGAAAAAAAGTGTTTCCTGTGCAGTTTTGTGAAATAAACTAATTTCGACATGCTCAAAAACTAAAATCACCTGATCTCACCGGCAAAACGTTTCATAGGAAATCTAGAATTTTTCTGTCAAAATTTGTGCGTTTCCTTTAAGCAAATTTATTTTGGAAATGTCAAATCGTGGAGTTATACGGTCGACGGAAACCACACATACCGACAGCAAAACAATGTTGAGGAAAACGGAACGGAAACGTGTTTGAAATGTTTACGTTTCATTTAATCGTGCATCACAAACATCATCGTAAATGATTGTCAAAATCAAGAGCTGGATTTACAAGTTTAAATTTGCTGTGAATTTTTCTGCTTGCAGTCACGTCAGATTACAGTAAACTCAATGCGTCTAATATACGACGCTGACAGTTTTCTAAAATTGACGTATTCAGTGTAAATGTCTCTCACCTCCTTCTGGGTGAGCAGCTCCGTGTTGATCATCTTCACCTGGATAGGAACCAAAGTCAGAGGCTCAAACGTCAAACTCCCCCTGTTCCTGTAGTTGTACTTGAACCACAGGTGGAAGAAAAACAGAAAAGAAGGCAGAAATTACACCACATGATGATTGGAGGTGGTGTTTTATTGCTTTTTGAGATGGTATTTATGTTTTTACTTTGGGTTTAGCAGGAACAACGAGGACCACGTTTTCAATACGAATCCCAAACGATCCGTCTTCATAGTATCCAGGCTCTAGAAAAACGACACATAAACAAGGGAAGGATAATGTCGTGTTTAGAGAACGTCGAAAAATATCTCAAATATCAACTGATGCAGATCAGGCGGCTAAGATGTGATGTAAACCCACCGTGATTTAGATTTTTAAACAAGTGGGCATTCAAGAGTGTCATCATCAACTAAAAAAAAAAAAATCTCCAAAAATATTACAGCTTAAATGTTAAACTCTGATTATGACAAGTAAAGTAGAAATTATAGAAAAAAAATCTGATTTTTTTTCTTTTTTTTAATTTGTTTGATATTCAGTTTTCATTTTTTCCAAAACTTATCTAAGACTGAAAAATTATTAATAAAACGCCAAAATGCTAAACATTTCCAAAGACCCCGAATGTAGTAACTCAAAGCCTCGGAGTTGAAAAATTAGAAATCTGTCATTTCTGTCCGCCGCCTCTCTGAGTTTGGTTAATCCCCCCCGGCTCTCATCCCGTGTCGTACCATCACTGACGATCATTCCGGCCTCCAGAGGTTCGTCGGCGAAGGTTTTGTAACTGATGCCGCAGGGCCCCTCGTGGACGTTGAGGAAGCAGCCCACGCCGTGACCCGTTCCGTGAAGGTAGTCCAGTCCCGACTCCCACAGGGCAGCTCGGGCAAACGAGTCCAGCAGGTGGCCTGGACACACGGACACAGTTAGTCAGAGAAAAAGCTGTAAAGTACATATTTCCTAAATTTTTTTTACAAACAAATTGCCGTGGTGTGAACCCTTGGAAGCGGTTCTGATGTTGTGGGCGGCTCTCTGGGTCTGACCTGCAGCTCAGATTTAAATTACAGAGCTGCTGTAATATTGTTAAAGAAGTTATCTTAAATCTGAAGATTCCTAGTTTAAAATCCAAAGTACATGCAGCGCCTATAAAACATATTCACCTCTTTGGATGTTGTATCATTCTAGTGCTTTTATAATAAACAAAATTTGACTTTTCTGGCAAAAAAAGTTACAAAAATAAAATTCAATATCAAAGTGAACGTTGTACAATATGAGGTCAAGTGAAGCTTTTACAGAATTTCATCTTAATTTTGCAAAAGTCCTTCACCAGTCCTCAGTAATATGCCAGTTTACTGATGACTTGTAGTTAAAAAGAAGAAGAAAATACCAGATACATTTCCATAAAGTATCAGAGAGTTCAAAATGAGTGACTTCATTCATCAGACCTCATGACTTTCTGCTCAACAATCTCTCCTAGAGAAGCAGAGCTCACCTTTAGTTCCATTGGGGAAAATGGCAGCGCTGACAGCTATGTGTCCCTTCAGCACGTAAGTAAAGCATTCCTGTGGTGGAATAAAATGCAAAGTTGTCCACATTTACAACAGACTGGGTCGTTAGAACCATTAAACCCATTTTCACAACAATAAAGCGGTTCACCTTCTCGAAAGCAGAAGGCGTCCCGAAATGCACGGTGCGGGTGACGTCTGTGGTTCCATCGCTGCCAAACGCACAACACAAATTATCTTGTTCGTTCATTTCAGTAGATATTAGCATGTCATAAAACTACTGATATGCAACAGCAACATATTTACATGTACTGAGCTCCAGAGTCGATCAGATAAACTTCATTCACAGTAAGCGTTCTGTTGGTTTCAGGAAGGGGTCTGCAAGAAGGGAATGTGGGTTAGCTGAGTCAAAGGTCAAAATTATTCCACTGATATGTTTTGTTTGTTTGTTTGGTCTCCTTACTGACCGGTAATGTATGATGGCTCCATTCGGACCCACGCTGGAGATGGTGGGGAAGCTGAGGCCAACAAAGTCTTTCTGCTGACTGGAAAGAAAAACGGAAAGAAATTCATTCACTGCACACACTGCTTTAAAATCTCTAAGCTTTAGGAAGCTGAACCATGCCAAAAAAAATCTAAATTTTAAACCACTGTCAGCGAATTATGCTGAAATAAATATGCAAATTATATAAAAAAAATGCAAAGTTTTATGAAAATATGTTATTTTTACACTTCCAGTGGACATGTTTTTTATTCAAAAGTCCAGTAGAGGGCGATATTGCTCATGATCGGTGAATTTAACAAGTCTTCACACATCTTTTAAAGGCAGAAATCAGAGTTCCTATACATTTTTTAATGTCAAACCTTCACACTTTTCCAGAAACAAATGTACCAAAGTAGTCTGTCATCAACATAAAAATCTTAAATTCTGAATACAAATGTTTACTAACCCTAACCCACTTTATCCTGAAGATGGCAGATACAATATCTGCCTTATATCTGTCAAATAAGGCAGATATTACTACAGCCATAAGCTTTTGCTAGAAAGCTGTAGTAAAGAAAGAAGGAAAGAGAGAAGGATGAAGAAGTGAAAGGAAGCATGAGTATTTTAGACAGCTGGGCAGAATTCTCAAATATATATTTTTCTTTCCTTTTATAGCACTTATTCAGACCTAGAACATTTCAGGTTTCTGTAGAATTAAAGGTGACACAAAGTGAACCGAATTGACGTCACAAACTGGACACGGAAAACTGAAAATCACCTGCGGAGTTCCTCGGCCTTATCGGCTGCAGAGATCTCAGTCACGTTGCCGTTGGGGATCTAGGAAACAGCCGCCGAAGCGACGGCAAGTGGAGTGAAAAAAACAACACTGGCACACTTATAGGTTTGAGTGGAACTAAGTGATGTAAAGGCATCTACTTGAACAAAGTGTTCCCAGTTTCAAAGAACCAAAAGACCCAATCTTGATCCAGGCTTGACCCTTGCCTGTGAGTCTCCAGTTATGTCAAACTTTTTTACTGACAGATTGGTTTTGTGAAAAAGAATACCTCCTTTTCCAACCAAGCAAAGAGTTCACAAAGAGCAACAGCATCCTTGATCTGTTGGGAGAAATAAAAACAAAATAATAATTTAAAAAAAACATCCGACTTTTTAAACAGAACTGAATTAAAGAGGAAATCAATGTCTTTAATTTTATGTAAATTACATATTTATAAGGTTCAAAATCTCTTACATGGGCCATTTTCATGCCTTTGATCTCGGTGGCGTTCTTTACGGCTTTGGAGAGGCAGAGCGGAGTGTAGGGAATCGGAGTCCTGTGAGCCTAAATAACAAAAGAGACATTATTAAGAGGCAACACAAATCACAGTCATTGAATATTTTTTTCCCTTTTTGTTTTATTTAATTTACCCAACAAGTAAAAAAAAAAGACAATACACCTTCTACCAGTCCTAGTGTTTTAATATATATATCAACTGATGTTTATTTGTGAAATGACAAAAGAAAAATGCTTTGATACACACCTTAATGTAAATGAAGCAAAAATGTATTAAACACAGAAATAAATCACACACAATTCATAAAAAAATCCTAAGTATCTCAGGATTTATTTAATTCTAATAATTACAATACAAATTGTTCTAATTTAATGATTGCGCAGCAAACTAAGCTCAAAAAACTTAAATTTTTTTTTTTAAGTTTAGAACAATTTTTGTGCATATTCTATTAAGGATGCTAGTTCAATTATCAGCAAATCAACAAGTGAGCCTTTTTTGTGCAGACTGCTAGAGGAACGGGATAACTGCTGAACATCTAAAAATAACTTCAAAACTGATATCCTGGAGATGCAAGTGGGTGTTTTCCCTATAACGTCTTTGAAACCTGCGACACAAATCACCATCGACCTGAAACAGCTGCTATGAGGACGTAAACAAACAGCTTCTCTTGCTTACCAAGAACTGAGTTCAACTTCCCTTTCTGACCTTGTCCTGAACAAAGCGACCAGTCTTCCCTCACCTTTGGGACGACCTGCGTAAGAGCGCAGCTGGCCTTGTCACAGATCCACACTTTGTCTTTGGGGCCGAGCGCAGCGCAGATCGCCTGGAGCTCGGTGTAGACGGACTCATATGGGAAGGTCTGGACGCTCAGCTCGGGCCGGCTGGGGGAGTCCAGCTGCAGGTGGTCCCGCACCACCGGGTCAGACAGCCGCTTCAGGTCCACGAAAAGTCTAAAAGCAAGGATGGATGTGAGGGGGAAGGATTCATTCATAAAGAAGATACATAAGATACTGACACACTGCTTTAATTTTAAAGGTAGGTTCTACTTTATACATTTACATATACAGTATAACAATAATGCATAAATGCTAAGAAAATATCTAGTTACTTGTGCAAAAAGTGACTGAAAACGTGTTTACCTGTTATGTATTTATTCTATTTCTGTGTTTCTGTGATATTTAAATGTTTTAATATAATTACAAAACTGAGGCGGTTGAGGCCTGAAGTCTAAAAAGCCATAGAAAAGATTTTGAAACCCTTTCCAGACTCCTAGATGTTAATTAGTTTAGAGTGGATATTAATGTGATGTAATTTTTGACAGCTTTTTAGCTACCATATTTTCTGGACTATAAGGCGCACCTAAAAACCTTCAATTTCCTCAAAAGCCGACAGTGCGCCTTATAATCCGGTGGCTCAATATTGGTGCAATATGGACCAATATTGAACCACAACAAGTCTAGCACCTACGGTAAGCAGCCGCCAACTTCATTTTTGCCCGTAGAAGAAGAAGCGCGCAGTGCATACTGGGATAGTTGTC